AATAGTAATAATAGCAATAATGTACTTAATAAACTATACATTTCAACATTTTTTTTATTCAAGATGTGATCAGATATCAGAAAAAAATATTTCTTCCTTAAAATTACTTAGGATTTTCTTTAAAACTACTTCCAATGGAAAATAACTTTAAAGAAATATTTATCGCTAGGTTCACAGTATTATAACCAAAAATGCATTAATAAAAAGTGAATTTATTTTGGCTAACAAAAACTTTGCTTGTGAAAAGATGTGGTAAAAAAAAATAATAATGAGAATCATTATCACTATTATCATGGTATTGTTTGATATCTTTTAAAAGTCATAAAAGTAATAACACAAAAATCAACAATTCATGTCATCATTTAAATTTCTATAAACATAAGAAATAAAAAGCAAAGAGCTAGATCCTGCCTAATCCTCCAGAAATTATATAAAAATATTCCATTCATCACTTCAGCTATTACCAATTTTGCTTGCATTTTGCTTCTGGTCGGCCTAAAACAAACTCTGCAATGTGTTCTTCATTGCTTCTCCTAAAAGTATCTACTTCAGAAACAAAGATTTAGATATATATCAAGCAAGATTTTTAAATATCAACTTGCAGCAGAAGTTCTCACCAAGATATGCTTTGCAATGAAACTCTAACTAGGAAATTGCATAAAAAGAGTTTCATTAAAGATATCTTCCTAGATGGAGGAAATACAAAGCAAGACCTTGCAACTGTAAGGTCTTGAGAAGCATAGTTTATTATCTAGAAAAACAGAGGATCTATTTGAAACATACATGAAAGAAAGTGAAATATGATTTCTTTTACCAAATATATGGCTTTTTTCAACTATCAGACACTGGGAAGAACTATAGAATCTATGGATATATATATATGTACTAGAGCATTATACATCAACTTGGAAACAAGTAGAAATAACAGTAAATAAGCTTTTTTTTCCACATTATATAAAGAAAAGTGGAGTTCCAAACGAAAAGAAATAAAATAGTCAACTTAACTGATAAATACTGAACCTGTTTGAGTTCTGAATACTTAGTTAAATACTGTCATTCAGTATGTACAATATCACTAGATACTCATTAGGTAGATGGATTTCTTTATGAGAAAAAAACTAGAAGGTACATGAAATACAAAAATACAAGGTACTGAAAGTTAAGTTAAGAAAATTTGTAATTTTAAACTCCTTTTTGATATCGCATAATTAGCACCATAAATAACATAAAGAAAATGGAAGGGAGAATACAAAGTTGCAATGATGTCAACCACACTAAACTTAAAACATATTTCATTACAGTGATAGCACTATACGTATCGACAACACTGAGAGTTTCCATACTTGCGTCAGGAATCCATTCATTTCCAATGCATAGATAAAGACTAGATATTAGGGTATTTGGGCCTTATCATCGACCAAAATTCCATAACATCAGGTATGAACATTAGACTCCATTAAGTCTCTAAATATTGATAAACCTATGAATTCTTCTATACATATACATATTGGACATTGCAAAAATGTGTAATCACAGTTTTTAGAATGCCTTATACTACTAATGAAAACCTTTATAGTAATGATTATTGCCCTCTGAAAATAAAATTGATAACATGAAGTATAATGATGTAAACGTTAAAATATATTCCTATTTAAAATCCCATTTCTATGCAAAGAAAAATATAAGATATATATTGGATAACCATATTCATTCAAACTATAGGATATACACTTCTTATTTCTTCCTTTTTACTGTAAATTTTAAGAAGATAAAGCATCTATTTGGATTTTCTCTTTCTATTATCAACATGAATCAATATACCACTAATTATGTGTAGTTATGGAGGGGAGGTCATTTTTATGACAACAAGAACTTGCTAACATAACTATGAGAACTATCTAGGACTATTTTTCTTTGTAGTGTAGTTCGATGACAATGCATAATTTCAATATCAAAAAATATTTTTGATGGTGGACAAATTTGATAGCAAATAACTTCCTTAATTTTGATTTTTGAAAAAGATATATACTGCCATACACCAATATTTCAGCTATGATAAACTATGGTAAACATTTCAAACAGAATCTAAAGTTACAATAGCACACATGAATGAAGGTTCTTGAGATCATGATCCTCAAAAAAGTAGTTTTCAACACACTTTCCACAGCTGTTCTCTCATTACACAAACAAATAAACATATGTGTTAATATGTATTCATATGCAAATACAAATACATATACATATGAATATACATATACATACATGATCTAAAATTCAACAACAGGCATTCCATACCTCAATGACAGTTTCTTGTAGTACAGCATACCAGTGACAGAATGATGATTTAATCATATTTTCCTTGTAATATCAGTAGCTCTTCCACCTTCAATTAAATAACATTTAACAATAAGTGATAAAATTCATAATCCAATCTTGAGTCCTTAAGAAATGTTTAAAAATCCTCTTAACACTCTGATTTAAAGAAAATAAAAGAATAACAAGGTTAAATTCCATTCAGATGTTATTAGACTTAACAAACAAACTCTTCACATGAATAAAGGGCATTTTTCTCTCTCTCTCAATGAACAGATGAAGTCTTGCAGCCAGCTGCTTTTAATATCTTCCTTTCCGTGGATATAATAGCCATGACATAGTAATAATCATTTCTTAAAAATTTCAAGCCATTATTAATTAATTTCCTAACACAATATAATCTATGTAGTTTATTGCTCTAAGGATGTCTCTGGATTCTTTGGAGTTTGTGGTGTCGCTGGTTCATCCTCTTCTTCAATCACCGACACACTCCTTTGTGCTAGTTTCTGCCGCAGGTTTTCCACAACCTGTAAAAGTCGTTGTTTATGATTAGTGAATAAAAAGGAGAATATTGTACACATGTTTTTGTTTGTGTGCACTTAAGTGTGTCTTCATGCTTGTGCTGGTTTCTAATTATGTTATTGTGCATATGTAAATCACTGTGATGTACAGTGTGATATAGTGACAATGTTATTTGACTTTCAAGCTAACAACAGATGGTAGACATATGATCAAATAACATTATCTACCATTCTAGATTCTAATATCTTAATGATACTTTTAGGAGCTAGTACACAAGTCAATATCAGAAGTATACATGTACATATAATCTTCTGTCTTTGAATACTATATATACTTAATGATAAAGAAAAATATGGTTACATATACAAGTATGTATATCTGCACATGTCTAAACACATTGTTGAGGACACAGAAGCTGTTATGTAAAATAATGAGCAGCTATACATCACTACTCAATTAGCAGATATACCTTGGTGAATAATATAAGCTAAGACACATTCCTGTTATTCTACAAAGCTTATGAATATACATAAATACCAATGCCCCAGCATGCACTGCCTTTGCCTTTTGTCAACATGCACACCCAAAACTTTCATAAAGGTACACCTTCACCAATTCCTTCCATTAAAGGAATAGGTACTTTACAGTGAAAATTATATACAGGTATGAAGATAAAACTGTCAGAATATCATGTGTTTTAATCTAGTAATTAAACACTTCAAAATATTCCATCTCAAAAGAAAGAGTTAGAAGTAAAGACAAGGCAAAAGGTTAATGAGAAAAAAACAAAAATATGGAGAAAAGGTGTGGAAGCTGAAAATGTATGCTTTGGAAGCTCTGCTGAAAACACAGATAGAGAGGAAAACAGTGGGATAAAAAGGCCTTTCGTAAAGCATAACATCCTAAGACATTTCTATTCAGCTTGGGTATAAAATAGCAAAATATTTTATTTTTGCAATAATATGAAAATCACTAAAAACTGACCTACATTGCACAACTAATCCACCAACATCTAGTATATCTGACTATATCCACACACCTATATATATAAATATATAGATATACATATGGCATTCTAATGAACTGCAGGACATATTCAGATCACTGTGATATACTGATCTGCCCACTTAACATATGAACTCATGATACTGATAAATAGCAGGAAATATACACAAGTTCCCTAACCTACGGCCATATCCTCTAATATAAATATCACACGAGGGTACACGTTCTTGCCATATTCTCTACAAGAAAATTATACAAGACTAACAAAGCTAATGGAACAATACTTATACATGTACAAGGAAAGGACCCTACCTAGTATAAAGGGAAATGGGTACCTTAGCAACTAAAAAATATTTTCTGTTTTGTAATAAATGCCCTAATAAAAATACTGTACTATAACTTACAGTATAAAAAAATCTATCAGGACTAAAGCAGAGACCGTTACTCCCTAATATAGTATGCCAACAGAGTGCAGTAAAAAAAAAGGGTTACTGTCTCCACTGGAATATATCAAAAAGCTATTTAATAGTATAAAGCACTGGCTTAGATGTGAAAACGTATTCTGAAGACAGTGTTACCATGCTTCAAGTTCAAAATTACAGGACCTGTAGAAAAATCTGAGATTGTTCAGAGAGGAAGAAACCAGCAAGAAAAGGACAAAAACCATACCTATAAATGAGACTGTTTTACTTCCACAGATGGGCTCTTGCACTTTACACAAACATGTCTTAGGTGTATGTATTTACATATTACTTTTGTGTAAGACAGAAACACGGAGGAGGTGGGTTAGGGATAGGGGAGGGGGAGAAGAAAAGGAAGAGAGAGGGAATGGGAGTGGGAGTGGGAGTGGGAGTGGGAGTGGGAGTGGGAGTGGGAGTGGGAGTGGGAGTGGGAGTGGGAGTGGGAGTGGGAGAAGGAGAAGGAGAAGGAGTGGAGGGAGAAGGAGAAGGGAGAGGGAGAGGGAGAGGGAGAGGGAGAGGGAGAGGGAAAGGGAAAGGGAAAGGGAAAGGGAGAGGGAGAGGGAGTGGGAGTGGGAGAGGGAGAGGGAGAGGGAGAGGGAGTGGGAGTGGGAGTAGGGTGGGAGTGGGTGTGAGGTGGAGTGGGAGTGGGTGTGGTAGTGGGAGTGGGAGTGGGAGTGGGAGTGGGTGTGGGAGTGGGTGTGGAGGTGGGAGTGGGAGAGGGAGAGAGAGAGGAAGAGGAGGAAGAAGAGGAAGAGGAAGAGGAAGAGGAAGAGGAAGAGGAAGAGGAAGAGAAAAAGGAAGAAGAAGAAGAAGAAGAAGAAGAAGAAGAAGAAGAAGAAGAAGAAGAAGAAGAAGAAGAAGAAGAAGAAGAGGAAGAGGAAGAGGAAGAGGAAGAGGAAGAGGAAGAGGAAGAGAAAAAGGAAGAAGAGGAAGAGAAAAAGGAAGAGAAGAAAGAAAAGGAAGAAAAGAAAGAAAAGGAAGAGAAAAAGGAAGAAAAGGAGGAGAAGAAAGAAAAGGAAGAGGAAGAGGAAGAGGCAGAGGATGAGGATGAGATGAGGAAGAGGGATAGGGATAGGGATAGGGATAGAGAGAGAGATAGAGAGAGATAGAGAGAGATAGAGAGAGATAGAGAGATAGAGAGATAGAGAGAGAGAGAGAGAGAGAGAGAGAGAGAGAGAGAGAGAGAGAGAGAGAGAGAGAGAGAGAGAGAGAGAGAGAGAGAGAGAGAGAGAGAGAGAGAGAGAGAGAGAGAGGGAAAGGGGAAAGAGAGAAAAAATATGACGTACTGCAAATAGTAACACAAAAACACACACTTATTTACAGGTCCATCCAAATTCGCTATTACACAACCATCATAGGTATGGTCCAAGGGAAAAAAAGCCCCATCAACCGTGACCCCAATCTTGATACTGGTCTAGCTCTACCTGGGATCTATGCCTCCCGCTCTTCCTCTTGGATGCCAAACTGCAGAGCTTTTTGAGTTCTTAGATGCTGTATCAGACCCTGGGGGAAGGGAGGGGGAGAAGGAAACCTAGAGTATAAGGGGAACAAACAAAAAACAACTCCATACTGGTCGCAGAGTGAGTACCACCAGGGTTTCTGTAAAACCTCTCTTATCTATCCAAATACTCGGTGGAATAAAAACGAGAGGTAGTTTTTGTCGATACATCCAAGCTCCTTTATTTCTTCTTTGAATTAAAAAGTTATTCTCAAGATATAAAAATTTAAAAATATAAAGATTTGAAATCTCCAAAGCAGCTCTGTCAAACTCTTATCCATAACAAGACAGAAATCTAGCTTATACTTGTAAATGTAAAGCTCTCTCTTTCTACACCTCCATTAATAATCTTTTCCTCTTTGATTCCCTTATTCTCTTTGATCTACAATGAAAATAAATAATAAAACAAACAGAGGTGCTCTTACTTTTCTCTAGGCTCAGGTGTTTATAAACCCATATACATAACCATACAAATAGCATTACCGGATTGTTATATTTTATATAAGGAAATGAATCAGATCAATCCAAAAATAATGTAAGAATACATCTCTAGATAAAGCCTGGATGCATCTCAATTGACAAAAGAACTTACAGATATCGGAAGAGAATAGTCTTTCACAGAAAAGAAAAGTAAAAAAAATGACATTTGGATAAACAAGATAAAGCAACCAAGGTATTAAAAAGGGAAAACAAATGGCTAGTAATTCAACTACTTTGTTATTGTCACCTCAGAAAGAAAATGATGGAGATGAAGAATCGTAGATTAATCTGCTGAGTAACTGTGAAAAGAAAATTACAAAAAAAAAAACAAAAAAAATCAGCGGACTATATAAATGGAGGATTATTGATTCCTTTTCATAGGAATGTCACTATTTAGTTGAATGATCATCAAATAGGAACATAATTGATATCTTAACTCAATCATCTGGTGTCATAAGCTCCATTCAACTGCAAAATTAAGGGGGAAAATATTACTAGGAAAAACAGACTGATTGAAGATGACAAACTACTGATCTTAACAATTATTACAAATAATTAAATCTAGAAGAACAATTAATGATACCAGTTAACAAATAACTTGACTTGGTATGCAAAAGATGTCCAACACTTAAATAATAAAACCTTATTATAGAATAAAAATTCTTTAATACATTTAAGAGGTCAGAAGTCTGAAAAATGAAACATTAATAAAAGACAGACACATAAGAAAGTCCATGCTAAAAATCAAAGGCTGTCTAAAATAGCACAAAAGCATTTTCAAGAAATTGTCTAAATGGAACTCTAAAAGTAAACTTAGGTTCAGTAGTAAGCATTCAGTTATTCACTCATACAAGTAGCCGGTCAGTCAGCTAATTCTAACTCAGCCCATCACACATATACATACATACATATATATGTGAAAGCATATAGAGCATGTATGCAAGCCCATACACATACACACACATCCATGCACATACATACCCATACATACACAAAGCTTCATGCTAGGTTCTACTATTCTGAGGGTGACTAATTAAGCCTTTCACTTCTCACTACTGTATTTCTAATACTCTAAATCTGTCCCTTTAATATAATACCATTTGTCTGAATTTTCTACCTTGTACCACTGACTTGTAATGTAGATTTTTATCCACCTAGAATCTGTTCTGACTAAAAACAGTATAAACTTTACTTCTCTGCAAAATCTCCTCTCTACCTAAT